TCATCCTGCTTAAGTCTGTACTTTTGTGAGCTGGCTGACTTACCTCCTCTTTAAGTCTGTACTTTTCCTCACTGTCAGCATCCATATTTTTGGTCTGGGATTCCAACATGACCTGGAATTTTGACATCTTGCTCTCCAATTCTGTCACCTACAATGAAATTCATAAAATGGACATTTAATGCCATCTGTATCAAATCAAGTTAACCATTCACTGGTACCTTAAAAAAATTACCTTTAACCTCTACCAGTAGACACTACTTGTTATATGTTACCTGTAACCTCCACCTGTCCACTTCTTTCTGGGATTCCCATTCCTTCACTTTCAGAGCCTCAATTTCAGATTTCAGAGAAGCCTTCTCAGATTGTGATTCCTTCTTCATTTGATTCAGCTTCTCACTGGCAATTTGTCTGTAAAAAAATGTTGTTTTGTTATGCATCCCTTTTAATAATAAGAAATTTAGTTCATCCAATATTCCATTCATTTAAATGACTAAACTCTTACTTGGCCTGTTGAAGTTCCTGCAGCTTCTGACTTGTTCCTTCTATCTCCATCTCCCTCTCATCCACTGCTGACTCAAACTTTTTCCTACAAGAAGATTAAATGTACAGCATTTCTACTAACTTAACACCTGAACTGAGAACACTTACTACATAAGACAGTATCGACCCCTTACTTGATGTCATCCCAGTCGGCCTGCTGTTTCTCGTACTCCTCTATCAGGGTCTCATAGTCTTTGATTTGGTCCTCAAGGTCAGTCACCACTCCCTTCAGAACATCTGCTTTCTGTAAATTTGGAGGTTAACATTGGTACATGTACGTACATATTCAGTGTGTTCATAACTTAATACAGAACTGCAATGAATGAGCTACATGCTAAAACACTAGTCTAGATTCAAAGATTCATGTACTTTCTCAATACCAGATGGTTAAAAAAGTCCAAAGATTTATAACTGTCTTTTACAAGTAAATGACCTTTTTCTCCAGTTCACATTGCTGCTGGGTGTGCATTAGTTTCTCCTCCATGTTTTGTTTTTCTAACACTGCTGTTCCCTTCTCCTTCAGCAGGTTCCCTATCCTTTCCTCCATTTCCTATTACAAAATCAGAAAATAATATCTATTTTCTGACTTCTGCACAAAAAATTATTACCTGCATACTTGCCAACCTCTAACATGTAAAATCAGGTCATGACCAGATTTGGAATGTAAAAAATCTGGTCATAATGAATTTTCCATTTGTTTGACAAAAATTGGGTGAAAAGCATGACCCACCAGGTAATAAAAAATAATCGGGTTAAGGGTCAAAAAATCGGGTATGACCCAATGAAACTGGGTGAGTTGGCAACTATGATTACCTGACCATAGAATCTAATTAATATGTACATGCTGTATCAATTGTAAATGTTGAAATTTTCATTTCTGAAGGATTTTATTGTTATAGACCTTTTGCTTTAGTTGCAGGTTTTGTCTCTCCATCAGAACTGTGTTCATGTCATGTTCCAGATGAAGAGAGCCCTGGGCTTTGTGCAGCTTCATCTTCAGATCTCGTATCTCCTGGTTAAACTTGTCTCTCATACTCTGTTCCTGTCTTTGCATGGCGGACACCAAGGAGCGAGCCTCACTCAAGGCCAGATTGGATTCTTGTAGCTCCTTCTTCAGCTCTGAGATGTTGTCATTTGTCTGTTCTTTTTCCTTGATAATATATCAACAGCAGTATTTTACATCAATATCACAGAATTTAAGTATCCATTCTCACTGTCTTTGTAGATCAACTGATACATAGAGTATAAATATACATGAACAATCTTAATTTCTCTGTACAAGATAAACATATTCTTGTTATTTTCCCTTACCTTGTAAAGTTTTTCCTCGAGATGCTGAACATCCTTTTTGTTATGGGAGGCTTTTTGCTGGTTCTCTGCTAGTTCCCGCTGCAGTTCCTGAATCTTGACCTCTGATGACCTCCTGGCTAACTTCAATGTATCAAGTTCCTGACTGACAACAGTCAATTTTTCCAGCTTTCTCTTCCCATCAGCCACTTGACCTTCCAAGTCCTTGATCTACAAGCATATTTCGATATTTATGACAAATACACACTGATACAAATGTTCAGGTTAGAAACTCAAACCATAAATCATTCAATAGAGATAAACAATATTCCATCCACCTTAATTTCTAGTTCCTCTGTCCTCTTTTTCTGCATCTCCCCTTTGCTCTGTAGGAGTTTGTTTTCCTGTCGTAAATCCTCGGCGTCCTCTATCTTGTTCCAGCGTTTGGCAGACAGAATTTTCTGTTCCTCTAGCTCCTGTTCTACACTCTGAAGCTTCACATTCACCGCCTCACACTCCTTCCTCAGTCTCCTCTCCGACGCCTGCTTCTCGCTCTCTAGGTCTGTCAGCCTGGACTTGAGCTGGTCATTTTCATCCTTCAGTGTCAGGTTTTCCTCCTTGAGCCCTGTGATTTCTGTCAGGTCCTTTTCCACTTTCTCCAGCTCTTTCTTCATGGTCGTCACAGCTTCCTCCAGTCTTTCTTTCTCCTCTTTCAGTTCACGGATTTCCTTCAGGGAGTCAAACTTTTCACTGGTCAGTTTATCAACCTTCTGCTGTAGTTGGAGTAGTTTTTGGTTGTTGTTTTCCAAGGTATTTCTGAGGTCTTTTACCTCATTGTCTCTTGATGGTGTAAGTCTAAGCTTTTCCATTTCTACATTCACAGCAGTAAGTTTGTTCTTTAGTTCTTCATTTTCTTTTTTCTCAGCCTTTAAATTCTCCTCCTGCAACTTTTCCCTAAAATTAAAGTACAAACATTTTCCTTTAAATTTTACCTTAGATAAATTCTGCATGTACATGTACATTGTACTTGTGTCTGAAAAAGATTTTTCATAGCGTTCAACATTCAATGGTTTCCTAAGACCCCAGATCCCTCTCTTTAGGGATGGGATTTTCTGATCCCTTACCTGATTTCTTGAGTTTCCCTGGACTTAAGTCTGACTTGAATTTCCCGATCCCTGCTGGCTGATAGCTGCCGTTCGACCCGCTCCAGCTTGGCAGTCAGGCGGTTGATTTTCTGTATAATTTGATCATTCACCTATTATCAAACATAGTGAGAAAGAAGGGATGAAAGCACACACCCATGCACTATAGTGAACTACAAGCAGAGAAAGAAAGGCTAGCTGTTATGCAAGAAAATCAGTAAATGTTAAAATAGATTGCTTAAGGAGGGTAGGTACAACATTCATACAGAAATTTCAAAGAATAGGATTTGTATATGAATTTCTACAAGAATAAAAGCAAAGGAAAGAAAACTAGCATCAGAAAAATAAATCATTAAAAAAAATTAAGTCAATTTCATGCACTCAACAGAAGACATTAATAAAAATTGAGTTAATATCTATGCAAAAGTCAAAGTCAAAAGGCAGACAACACAAAACTAGTAACTGACAACAGCAAGAGTAGGAGTTTGGAGGGGGATTTATATACTTTAAGAAAAGTATTACAAATATTTTTATTTGAAACATTGCAGCTTATACAGTATTAAATGAAATTCAAAAAAACAAATTAATAAATACACTGTCTGAACATAAATGTAAACAAAACAAGACCTACCCTTTCGTTGTCCATTTGTTTACATTTATAATCATCCAGTTCAGTCTGGACAGAGAGTTTGTCCTTCATCATCTTCCTCTTATCATCTCTTAACATCTCGACTTCTATCTCTAACTCCTAGGGAAAAAACACATTCATATATGAATTAATTTTGAACAATAAATATACTGTAAACCAACTATCATTGGCGTCAATTATTATTCGTGATTTGTCATTTTGAAATCAACCAGCGACAATTAATTTTCGCACTAAGAAAGCGTTTCCTACAAATACTAAGCAAAATGATTGGTTCAATGTGATCACTATCATGAGTTAAAGTTCATCGCGGAATTTGCAATTATTTCTCGCACGCGAATAACAGTTGGTTTATAGTAAATAGAGGAAGACCTTTCCTACTTCACTTTAGGCCATACCAATTTCTAATATAGTTCGTCGGATTCGCTGCCTCTATTTTTAACAAATCCAAATTATAATATTATAAAAATAAAATTCGTGCGCGCTTCCAAAAATATCCGAATACAATTTTTTTTCTCGACTTTTCACACAAAATGCATAAAAGACTTTGTATGACAGAAGCGCGGGATTTAGTTTGTTTGTACTTCGAAACAGTCTGTGAAGTTTTGCAAGATGCCCTTGTAACTGTTCTTATGTACCAGGGGTGAGCAATTAGCATCTTCCGACGCCCGGGGCTACCATTTTTGGGGATCGGGCTAGTTGTTTTTTGCAAGGAGGTAGCCCGTCAGGCTACTAAATAATTTAACTACACAACATGACAAAAAAGCACAATCGGTATTTTCACTTCTTTTTGTTATGAAATTCCCAACCAGTTAAAATTTTCCAGACAACATGCTCCTATTGTCAATAAATTTCCATAATCTTATCTGTTTTGTAGTTCTATCTGACTTATTTACTTCCAAAAACGATCGTTTTTCCTAACCCGAATTTCCTCTATTCCACATGCAGATATCTCATTAAATTATTTACGATCACCCAATCAACTGAAAGATAAGTGTTTTGTGACTCACATAAAATATATTTCCAGTGTATTTAATGATTTAAGATGAAAACAAAATGAATTTAATTTTATTCTAAATGAGCTAGTGCAATGATCAGGAAAAAGGGAAGATAATTTAAATTAATTTTAATTCATAATAATTTATGCATGACTAATATTGATAGTGAGAACTTTAAACTTTAATTTTAAAAAGAATGACCCCAGTACCCTGACTTTTTCAGCAATTAATTTTTTCTCAACATTAGTATTTATTTTAACTTTTGCCCCTTTGATTGGGTTAGTAACTTTTAACTTGGGGCTAGTAACTTGAAAGTTGCCACTAGCCTGTGGGAAAGTACTTGATTTTTTCTCAATTGCACACCCAGTCTACGCGAAAGTTGAAAATTGTTACCAGACAAAATGTCTGGTAAAAATAAAATTTTTACCAGACCAAACAATTTTTTACCAGACCGACTTTTTTTCCTTTAAATCCATACATCATTATGATACTGAGATTGAGAGGATGGTGGGATGGGGTTAATTCTCACTGTGAAATTTAACCTTATTGTTAAATGAATTCAGAGTGAAATGGACATGTTAACTATTTATAATTTTCCTTTGTTAAAGGTATCTATACAATTGCATGTATTTTTTTCCTTCATATTTGACTTGTACAACATACACTGTATCAAAAAAAATTCTTAAATTTAATATGCACTTTCAATGCATATTTATTTTTCCTGAAACAACTCATTATGGTTACTCAAGTTTGATGATCATTTGAAAAAAATTCCCAACTAAATCTACGTATGAGCTATCTAAATATTTTCCCAACCAAATCTACGTATGAGCTATCTAAAGATCTCTAACCCTTGACAGAGGAAATTCGAATTAGAATAAAAACGATCATGACAGGGTTGTAATATATAAAAATTAATCAGGTATTACTGCTAAATTGGTCAAATAAAGGACATTTGTGGGGAATTGGACCATGTTTACCTCTTAATTTAGATTTATTTGGCCTTATTTTTTACCGGACATTCGGTCCTGTAAACTGATTTTTTTTACCGACCCGACCTAAATTTTACCGGTAAAAACCGACGGTCCGGTGACTTTCGCATAGACTGCACACCCCTGAAAAAATAATAGAAAAAACAGAAGAACTTAGAATTTTTTGCCACTAATATTAATTATATTCGCTCGCCTCATAATTTTGAAACCTAAAATAAAAAAAATAAATATTTGTAAAATATTTTCGCTCGCTCGCCTCTCTTTTTATTTTTGAAAATCCGAAAAACTATGTTACAAATTGGTGTGGCCTTACAAAACATTTCCACCTCATTGAAACTCTACTCTTATAGGATATCATCACTCAAAGTCAATATCTCTTCCTGAATTGTTACATCATCCAAATTTTTATACTTATGGAATATCATCTTTGGCTAACTTCTTTTCACAAAAAAGGTAACAGTAAAATGCAATGAGAAAAATTTGCTTGATTCAATAGTAATTATCAGTGCACTACCTTCACATGTTTCTCCAAAGAGCTTTCCTTGGAGTCTTTTTTCTGTCCTTCCAAATAAGAACTGACATGGATCTGTAAATCCTGCAAGTTAAAACATAGAACAATTAAATTTTCTATTTTATATCATGATCCCTAATTTTTATGAAATGAAGAACGTGATCAGCATGATTAAACATTTCAATTAAATCTCTTTCTATGACGAATGACAGTCTTTTGCTTGACCTTGATTTTTTGTTTCTGTTTTCCTATTTCTTCTTGGTGCAATTTGATCTGCTCGAGTAGGTTTTCTTTGGACTGAACAGAGAGACGGGACTGGTGTTTCAGGGCTGCAACCTCTCCACTCAAATTCTGTAACAAAGGAAATGTATATACAGTAAAACTCGGTTATAGCGAAGTCCTGGGGACCAGTGAATTTAATTCGCTATATCCGTAATTCGTTATATCTGTATAACAAATTCGTATAACCATATATAGCGAATTCGTAATATGCATGTTTTCCCTCAAGTATTACTACCAAACATGTTAGTGAAGCAAATATTACAAAACATACTTAGATAACTAAGGTTTTGTTATTAATTGAATTTTATATACAAAAGCTAAAAGAAAATAAAGCCAGTTCAACCTATCAAATTTTGAGATCTTTGAAAGTGTGTTATAAAAGATGTAAATTTCATTATATTTAGGGCTATTCCAGAAAAAAATGTATGGGGGGGTTGGAAGGCACTTTTATTTTTACCCCACCACCCATACATTTTTAAATGCTTTCTACCCCACCGCCCATCAAATTAAAAATGCTCTTAATACAACCACCCATCTAAATTTAATAAACTTTTTTAAAGAATTGTGTTTTAAGTTATGTATAATAAAATTTTATGTACTGGTACTTTTTTCAAGCATTTGCACTTTATGCAACTTGATATGAGTGTTCACTTTTGGGGTGCATCCAAACAATGGACTCATTTAAAAAGAAAAAAAAATAAATATGATGCAAATTTAAATATTATGCACAAAACTTTCATTTTTTCATTACTTTGAAAATAGTTTTAATCTTTTTTGAAAAGAAACAAAAGTTTTAACAGAATTTTAACAGAAACAAAAGTTTTGTAGGATTTTACAATCCACTAATTTTTTTTTAGTAAAAAGTTCTTTTGTTATACGTTCCTGCTATAGCTAGGTTTCTTTTTTGTTACAGTTAATAGGGCCTATTTAGTGGGATGTGAAAAAAAATACAAAGTCTCAATCCAATCTAACAATGGTGCAGGCACTTGTTTCTGAAATATATATATATTTTTTGATTCATTTGTATGTTATGGCCGGGTTAAAAAAATTTGAGGTAACACTCAACAGGTTAAGGATTGGTATATGTATGTATTGACCTAATACATGTATATTGCTACAAACCCTGTTATATATAAACATTATTTTACACCGCATTTGGTTTAAAGTAAAATACTTGACTTGCAAACTCCATAGTCATGCTCTAAAATGTTTATTATCAGATACGGTTTTTTTTCTAATTTCGGTTTTAATCGAACGATCTCTCTATTTGTTTCTAATATCATTTAATAATTTACCAATGTAATCACGTTTGAATAAATTGCTGGAATGAAACTTGAGCTGGAAGCAACAAAGAACACAAGAACACAAAGAAATCGTGTCCCAATCCTCCACTGTCATTACACCATGTGCTTTTATAATTATCTGCTCTTGTTTCCGGTTTGTTCGATTCTACTTTCACTTTCAATGTAAACACACTTCTCAACTGTTTCGGACGTTTTTTTTTTAATTTTAAATAAATATCAATATTTACTGGCTTATACAAAATGAAAGGAAGGAAGTTCTTTGTAGTTGATTATTTGTGAGGGTAAGTGCAACCACCCATCTAAAAATATATCGGATGAGGACAACCACCCATGCAAATTTAATTGCTCCAGTCCCCATTACCCATACAAAAATATATGAAGTGCCGTCCAACCCTCCCATACATTTTTTTCTGGAATAGCCCTTAACCTCAATGGGACTCCAAATCAGTTCGCTATATCCGTAAATTCGTTATATCAGAGTTCGTTATAACCGTAAAATTTTACAAGGATTTGTTAAGAATTTTGCCGGGGAACTTAGAACAACTTCTCTATATCCGTGAATTTGCTATATCCGTGTTCGTACTAAACGTGTTTTACTGTAATCAGAATCCAAGTACTTTGTGGTTAAAATCAAACTATTTTAAATTTTACCGTATCAAAATTTGACCTCTTGTGATTGAGTGAAGTTCATATATCCTGAGTTACATGTACTTCAATAAAGCTGAGACTTACCTCTATGATTTCTTTATACTGGTCCTCCTCCTCTTGCCAGGCGTTAGAGTCGGCCTCGTACTTCTCCAGTAAATCCTCAAGCTCCTACAACAGGGTTACAAGGACAGTAGCTCAGATAAATACAAAGAGGAAAGTCAATACACATAAATCAGAATGTTTTTCCTAAATTCCATACCTGTATTTTCTTTATTTTGCTCTCAATCTCCTTCTTACCAGGCGATTTACTTGTAGTAAGCATGACTTTAATATCCTAGTGAAACAATACAGAAATTATTGCAATGGCTATGCTCTTAGTCTAATTACTGAGTATTATATTGTAGATATAAATGAAATTATTGTAAAGACATTAAACTGACATTTATATATGTAACATACATGTATATTGGTACATGTGCCTACCACTTTTTCCTTTGATGGGGCTGACTGAAGTTTGTTCAGTAAAACCTGTTCTCGTTCCATGAAATCTTTTTCCTGCTGCTCATATGCCTCCATCATATCCTCCAACTCCTGAAAATAGATAAGCAGAAGTATCACAGAATGACATAAATTACATGTTCCAGTATCTGTAAATGATGCACCCCATGCTGACATACATGTACATGTACCTGTGGATAAAGTTATTACAGCACTTTATTATATATTTTATAGACAAGTTTGACAATGACATACAGACCTGTATCCTCTTATCCTTCACCTGAATTTCTGAAGTTTTCTCTGTGATTTGTTCCCTCCAGGCATTGGACTGAGTCTCTAACAATGCCAGGTCCCTCTTCTGATCCCCCCGGGATTTACGTCTGGCCTAAAGCAGAAATATTCATCTTCCAAAACAAAAGAAAGATACTGAGACAGACTTGATTTTACCTTTTGTTTTCCGAGTGTTCGGGTTAATCAAAAATATTTCCCCACTTTACCGTCTTTTTGCTTAGAAGCCCTTGTGAATATTTATTTACAGGTGTACTTTTGAGAGTCTTTACTTAAACTAAGTCAGCTGCTTTAGATTGGTTTTACATCTTTTTTGGCTACCCAGTCTGTTTTTGAGCTCTGCTTTCTGATCATGTATTGGTGTACTCACCTTGGCGAGTCTGTTGTTGAGCTCTGCTATCTGTTTATGACTGGCCGTGACCTGTTCTTTGTATGAATCGATCTGTTTGTCTCGCTGTGCAACCTTACGAAGCAGATTTTCTTTCTCTCGTTCCAGCTCTGTGGCTACTTCTTGCAATTCATCCACTTGACACCTACATTTATTTCATATAGAAATGTTAATGCTAAAAAAAAAATAGCACATAGACCATTTAATTGGTAGTTTCAAAAATTATTTCACCAGTGTCATTTATTGTTTTAATTTTTGAAAAGTAATAAATGTTATTACATGTGCATATCATACTGCTAAGAAGTTACTGTTTATCAAGTACAGTGCAAATATTGTGTCACATTTAACAAGAAATCCCTCCTTACCTTAGAATTTCTTCTTCAATAGCTTGAGCTTCCTTCCTCATTTCCAGGATTTCATTGAAGTTCTTCATGGCATGTAGCTCCAGCTGTTCTTTCTCGGCTGTGGCTTTATCAAGCTGAGCAGCATATACCTGCAAAGTTACAAAATATATAAATGCGCTAACACTAACATTCTTATTAATTTTATTTTTTGTCTATAAAAAAATCCAGAAGGAAAATAATCATGCATAGTTTGTATAAATGCCATTTTTAAACCAGGCAGGGTATCTTAATGCATATATTAGCCCATGTATCACATAGAACTATTGTACCACATTTGGTTTTCATATGCTACATACACTTCATTCTTAATAAATTACTATTGATATGTGATTTCTCAATAAAATACAGTTAAAATTAGTGTTTGCAATTTTCAAAGGTGGCTGGACATCAGTTTCACATGATGAACATAAAAAAGCAGAGAAAGTAAAACCATCATGGCCAGCAATATTCAATTAAAATCACCTTCTTTTGCAGTAACGCGTCCTGTAGCTCCCTCTCCATACACTCCCTCTCCGCGGCTATCCTCCGCACCTCCTCCTCCTTCTCCTGGCTCCTCAGCTGGAGGCGCTCGACCTCTGACCTTATAGAACACTCGGACTCCTCCAGCTGTTGGTTCTTACTCTGCAGCTCGTTAATTTTCACAGTCAATTTGACCTCCAAATTTTGACATTCTACAGACTCCTCCGATGATGTGTCACTTTCCTGTAGGGAATCTAAGTCCTTGTCTTCTTGCTCACTAAAAAAATCATCACAGATTATCCTTTTTATCTGGACAATCATTTTCAAGAAAAATCCACCCAAAACCTTCAATATTTAAACCTTTGTAAACAAATGCAATTCATGACTTCTGGGTTCGTACCTCTTTTGTTGTCTAACATATGTGAATCCAACAAAAGGTAAATCCTTCCCAGAAAACTCTTTGCTTGTGTTGTAGTCATCAAAAGATGGCTGATAACGTCTTTTCTCAAACTCCTCGAAGTTTGAAGTGTCATCTAGGCTAGACAGGTGTGGAACAAATGGGGGTTTCACTAAAATTTACAAGAAAAAGATTTTTATCAAAAAATATTTTCAGAAGTATTCATGTGTATAATATGTGTAAGATTGAGCAGTAATTATGGAAACCTTGTTTGATATTGTCCATGTCCAGATCTGAGAAAAAAGAATGAGCTACTATTCCCTCATACATCAGTCTACTGGATTTGTCAGCAAGAAGGCCTTTAATCAGACTTATAGCTGGCTCTGAAACTTTGCTGGAGTCAGGAAAACTTAAACATTTCTGGAAAGAAAAACAATACAATCAATAGTCTGTACATTATTTAAACATTTACATTTGTTCTTTTTTTTTTTTAAATAATTTGTCCCTATAAAACTGATTTGATTTCAATTTTTGTGTACAAAAATGTGAATATACACAGAGAAATTCACATGTGAAATCACAGTGGGCTAGAGATGGTAGTGCTAATATAACAAAACAGTGATAAATTCAAATTTTATATTTTTGTTGGTTTTCAACATGTATAAATGTAAATTATAAGGTAAGGAATGTTTTTAGTTCTGAATGTTATTGGTGTGAAAATCCTACACAGATTTGTAAACATGCTAATTTTTTATGAAGTGCTAAATTAATTGATAGGCATTGCTGTTTTCATTAAATTGAATAACCTTAAAGTTCATGATTCTGGAGTAAGTGTTGATGAGTGAGCCATTCTCGTCTGTGAATGGTGTTTTCCCATATAACATCTCAAACATACAGATCCCCATTGACCACCAGTCGACCTCCACCCCGTAATTACTGACAATCTGTTTGTTGTTGATGGATGTCAGAAGCTCTGGGGACACATAGTCGGGGGTTCCTACCGGCATTCGGAAGGACACCTGTGGGAAATATAAGAAACTCTCAAAACATTTCCAGGTATGTAAATTTAGCATTTCAATCCCAGAAGTTTGAAATCACTTACCAGCATGTCCGGTGACAGTTTAGCAGCAGAACCAAAGTCAGCTAGCTTAACATGACCATGGACATCTATCAAAATGTTTTCTGGTTTTATGTCTCTGAAATGCATATAAAACAGTTATATCATATCAATCAATTTCTACTGGATAGAATAATGATCCTATATGCTCATGTAAATATACTGCTGCTAATACTTGTGGTGTAAAATTTTTAGAGTGATGTATATATTTGTGCAGTTCCATAAAGATGTGTTACAAGTTTCTAAAATATCTTTTTCTAAACGAAGTCTTGTTTTCATATACTTCGAAATTAATGTCTAAGGTTGAAGTCAGACAAAAAAAGCAATAAACATATACAGTCCAATAAATGATATTGTAGATAAAATTTTACAAAAGATAACAAAAATAAATATATCTATAATGCTCAGAAATACAATCAATGCTTCAAAAGAATGGAAAGAAGTTTCATATGGCTATTTACATTACCTGTGCACATATCCCATACAGTGTAAAGCATGGATTGCCAAAGTCATCTCAGCTATGTAAAATCTTGCCATAGATTCCTCAAAGATGTCATCATATCTAAAAAATAAAATTGCTTATAAAATACTTCCACACAAATGGCCTTATTTCTGCTTCTTTAAATTTACCAAGGTTTTATACAAAGTTAAGTCTAATGGAAAATACTTTTATGTTTTTGAAGCAGTATGTACATATCATGTACATTTATGTGTTGAAATTACAGGTAAGACAAAGATATTGTTGGGATCAAAACCTTGAAAGGAGGGACAAAAGGTCTCCCCCAGCATGAAACTCCATCACCAGGTACAGATTGAGGGAGTCCTGGAAAGCGTAGTGAAGTTTAGTGATCCAGGGACTGCCAGACAGAGCCATTATATCTCGCTCCTCCTCAAAAAAAGATATCTATAAAAAAAAAATCATAAATATTAGAGATGAAGCGTTTGATTTAGTATTTACTACTCTATAAATGTCCTTCAGTGCATATATATCTATCATAAAAGTGATCTAAAAAAATCATTTAAATTCTTTTCTTCTAGTATCTGCAAGTTTGGTTTAAACTTGCATAAAAAATATGTTTGAAAAACTAATATGTATACATTAATATCATAGGCTGCACTTGTAGAGGAACAAGAGCTTACCTCGTGCTGTGCTAGAGTTTCATGCTTGTGTAAAGTTTTTAAAGCATACACCGTCCCTGTTGCTTTCTCCCTCACAACTTGTACTTCACCAAAATGTCCTCTGCCAATAACATCTTTCACTTCAAAATCACTCATACTGATCCTTAACTTCTTCAACTCCGCAATAGTAGAAGCATCTAATGTTAGAAAATTAAAATGATAAAATGAATACTGTTATTGGAATGGATGATTTGGGTAGTTAGAATAATATTAAAAAAGATTATGTGAAATTTCTATTCAAAAAGTTGTCAAATCAACAGTCCCTTCATTAACTTACAAAAGTAAATATGAAAGAAAAATCTAGGAAGACCCCCAGAGAAGAGTAAAATATGAAAACTGGAATAATTATTTTCAATTTTTCATATTGAATAAAAAAAGGAATAAATTTCATTTTGACAAAAGCATTCCTACATTTTCTAACAAAGGCCGACACATGCTTGTTCTTTTTAACGAGATAATCATGACTGCATTCTTCATATAACACCATTAAGGCGTCTAGAAGTCCATCTCTTGTGGTCAGTGAAGTTATAACGTCATCGGTCAAAACAGATCCTGCCAGCAAGTTGTCCAACACCTCAATCCGCTTCTCAATAGTCTCCTGTCCTCCGCCTGACATTCTTTTAAAATAAAAAAAATTCTTTTAATTTTTTTTTATATAAGAAATGTTCTCATGAGAAAAAGCATATGCAAGCCAACGACTTATCTGTAAAAACAAACTTGAAATTGAATATTTGTGTACCCTATTGTCAATTTGTCATAAAATCCGTGCACATCTTTACAATCTACGTTCATCGCTGATATATACTCCATGCATTTTTCTTACCTTGAACGTTTATTACACACTTTACACTATCATAAATAAAAATTAATTTCAGGCAAAACGTAACATTTCCAAGTTGTTATTCTTCTTTTTTCGAAATATGCGCCATGATTTTAAAAATTTTACAGCGCCCTCTGTTCTTCTGGAAATAAAAGATTTCCGAGCCCGATTGCATATCGTAAATTCACTCCGAAACGAAAATGAATCTATCTAAAACTAAACATTCCTTTGTTTTCCATTTGAATTAATTTCCAACATCCTGTTCTTAAAAATAAAGAAAAGAATATGCTATTTATGCTTATGTATTTCGTCTCTCATTGCCGACATTGACATCATTGAGTGAGCAATGTCAGATTGAGAATACAACTGTGAAATAATTGAATTCTAAAAAAAAAAATTTAATAATAATTTAAAAAATCTAACAGAAATTTTATAAAAGTTCAATATATTCAGAAAATTATGGAATGCCATATACGACAGCCAACTGCTTACTGCCAACTGCTGACTGCTTACTGCCAACTGTCAGCTGCTTACTGCCAACTGCTACACATATTTGAATAAATTTTATATTTATATTGATAATGAATTTTCACAAAAAAAGGAAAAAAAAAGCACGGATCCAGGACATGTTTTCCAGGGGGGTCACTGTGGTAAAATTGAATAGAATAAAATGACCAATATGTTTTATCTTATGTAATATTCAATATATGCGGTTGATAAAGTACATTGTTTGTCTTTTTTATTTGTTTTCCTATTTGAAATAGGTAATAAAATGACCATTTTCTGCTTTTAATCTTTAAAGAAGCCCCTCCCCCTCCCCCGGAGACAACAAAACCTTTGAAGAGAGAATAATAATAATAAAAAAAGATTTGTCGTTTCGCAGAGAAAGATGTTTTGAAAATAAATTTCCGTTTCCATTATTTTTATAGTTCTAAAACAAAACAAAAATTTGCACTATAGTTATCTAACGCAAAATTGCAACTATACAATACTTATGCGAAATATGAAAATTCATCTATTAGCTTATTTTTTAGAAGTTTAGAAATTTTATGAAAGTGTCCCATTTACTCCATTCAACTAAAAGTTATTTAATGTATAAAATAAATCAACTCAAAGGGACCTTAGAACCCCCCCCCCCCCCTTTCCCCAATCGAAAATGTGGATTTGTGTTAAGTTGGTATGAAAAATGTCATACACATGAAGGTATTGAAGAACCAGAGTGACCCTCTTGGAAAGAATGTCCTATAGATCCGCGCCTTTTTTTCAATTTACATAAATATCAATATAAAAATAAGATTTATTCAAATATGTGTGGCAGTTGGCAGTAAGCAGCTGACAGTTGGCAGTAAGCAGTCAGCAGTTGGCAGTAAGCAGTTGGCTGTCGCATATGGCATTCCATAGAAAATAAACAAACAATTTTTGTTTTTAAAAATCACAAAAAATATATGCTTAGCTATTTTCAAATATACATATATGTCCAAAACACTTGCTTGGGCATTATATATATTGTATTTTTTTTTATTGATTTTTTTTTTGTTTTGAAAATGCATTTTTGATGAAGATTTCACTATTTATAATTTAATATTTAAATCTAGAGGCTTCGTTTTACAGCATAAACAGCGACACTTCAAGAGTTATCATCAGCAAAGTAAAAACATTCACCTAAACTTACCGGGGATGGAAAAGAGACATTCACCGCTTTCATCTGAATCCGAGAAAAGCGTTTTGCTGCCAGCTTTGTATGCAAACTTTTTTGGCCCTATTTTTCTTCAAGTATTTCTTTTTTTTTACGGGAGGGGGATTTTTGTGTGTTTTTTTTTTCTGACAAAATGTCCCTCGCTGTTAAAAAAAACCGATATCTTAAATTATTTGTCCGTAAAATATTTATAGAACTTGAACTAGTTTGAAAGATATTTTTAAAAAAGAAAAAAGAGGCCCATGGGTCACATTGCTCACCTGAGCACTGTGGCTAGGAACAATTAAGCAAAAATAATTCAGTAAATGCATTGGGCACAACCCAAAGGGAGGGGGTATGATTTTTTGAAGAAATTAAAATCTATGCAAACTTGAAGCTACACTACTTAAGGATGGTTACATATTTTTTGACTAAAGTTCTGTGGCTTTTTTTCCCTATAATATTGAACTTATATTGTGGCCCCATTCTATCCCCCTAGGCCATGCATGATTTAAAAATAAATTCTGCATCTACATTATATCTGAGGATGCTTCCATAAAACATAAACATGACCAATGAAAGTTTTGCCGTTCCCCAGAAGAAAATTTTTAAAGATTTTCCCTATATATTCCTATGTAAAACCTTGATCGTTCACTGTGGCCCCACCCTATCCTCGCGGGGGTCATGACTTCAACCAATCTAATTAAAATTAAACGTTAGATCCGCTCGCATATTTGGAACAGCTCTAGACTTATTTGCTTCAACAATATACGTAGCTGCAGATCTGTAGCGTTATGGTTTTATATATTTGTCTGTTATGGTCAAAAACAAATACATATATAAAACCATAATGCTACAGATCTGCAGCTACAATATACGATGATTTTGCAGGCGACGATTTGATTGGTTGATGGAATTTGACCTCTGACGTGACCCTTGATGTTGTTAGATGTTAGTGCAGCGAGTATGCGAGCGCATCTAACATCTAATTTTTAATTAGATTGGACATCAACAAATTTGCATCATATTTTAACTTGATAATGCTTCCTTATTATATAAATCTGTTATCAATCATGGCTGTGTTGTTCTTGAGAAAAAGATTTTAGATCTAAAAGATTTTCCCTATACATGTATACTCTGATCATCCATTAATTGTGACTTTCGCTGCTCTACCCCCAGGGGTCATGATTTAAATAGAGTCTCTGACTGGAACAAATTGAATCTACACCTCCTAAGGATACTTCCATATAAATATGATCAATCATGGCTTTGTTGTTCTTGAGAAGAAGATTTTAAAAGATTTTTCCTATATATATTCCTGTTTAAAACTTTGATTGTCCATTGTGGCCCCACCCTAGCTACCCCCGGGGTCATGATTGGAACAAACTTGAATCTACATTACCTGAGGATACTTCTATATAAATATGACCAATAATAGCTTCGCTGTTCTCAAGAAGATTTTTCCTATATATTCATATGCAAAACTTTGATCGTCCATTTTGGCCCCGTCCTACCCCCGGGGGTCATGCATGATTTGAACAAACTCACTACCTGAGGAAGTTTCCACTTAAATTTCATTTTTCCTGGCCTAGGGGTTCTTGAGAAGAAAATTTTAAAAAGATGCCACTGATTTTTCACGAGATTATTAATTATCTCTCCTTGGAATAAACTTTTTGAATCCCCGTCACCCAAGAATACTTTGTGGCAAGTTTGGTTGAAATTGGCTCCGTGGTTCTTGAGAAGAAGTCGAAAATGTGAAAAGTTTACAGATAGACGGACAGACGGAAGTCAGACAAAATGTGATCAGAAAAGCTCACTTGAGTCTTCGGCTCAGGTGAGTTAAAAAGTCCTTGAATCAAAAGGACAGCATTTGGATGGGCAGTGTTGGTTTGTGAAGTATACAACATCCTTTATAACAAGTCCCAACCATGTTAATATTTTGGAACATGTTGAAGTTTTTGGTGCAGGTCTCAGTTCCAAGTGGGTAGTAACTATGAGCCCTATGTTGAGTTGTTGACCAAACTTGATAAATTTATGGATGCATACTATCAGACCTGCCTCGGATGCTGGATCTGACCTACATTTTCCGGATAAGTGAACAGATTTAAGATTTTCGTGCAGTTCTCATTTTCTAGTGACTATATGAGCCCTATGTTGACCAAACCTGCAAGGACGATTCCTCTAAGGAGTAAGGATGCACACTACCTTGCTTGCTTCTATGCTGGATCTGACCTACATTTTCCGGAAAGAATTTAAGTCTTATTTTTTTCTTTTAATAATAAAATATACCCCTACCTAATAATACACGTGTATTATTTTAAAAATATACCCCATACCTAATAATACACGTGTATTGTAAGGTACCTGATATATTTTTTTAATAAGAAAAATTAGTAACGGCAGGTGCCTGTGGCATATGCGCAGTAGTCTACATATATGTACAAGTAGTTATTAATTCAGTCATAGGCACTCCCCATCTTAACTGTTAAAAAAATATACATCTACTATACTATAAACAAAACCATAGGCACTCCCCATCTTAATTGTTAAAAAAAATATATATACTATACTTTGTTTATAGTATAGTAGATATATATTTTTTTAACAATTAAGATGGGGAGTGCCTATGAATTCAGTAGTCGATGTACAAGTCTTTCATACAGTAGTCAATATACACATGTCTTTCAGTATAGTCCATATAATAAATATAATTCAGTCTTGGAATTGGTTCTCCTTGTCGACTATCAATGGTTCTTTCCAGATTCAAGCATAAGCAAGGATATGGAAATTTTTAACACGTAAAAGTGTATTTGTTTTTTTTTTTAAGTAAAAATGTACATGTATTTAAAATTGACAAGAAGGAAATATTACTGAATTGGGCTCTTTAAGTTTTTTGTCCAATATTGAATAGCTTACATATTTTTAAAAGATTTTAAAGAAAATGTTCAGTTGAACAATTGGTGTATACCTTTGTTAAATACGGTAGCGTATCAAATGGAAAATTGTTAGAAAATCTGTGAAGACTTCAAAGTGGTAAATTTAAAAAACAATAAAGCAACCGCAAAAAATTGCTAAAAATATTCAAAAATTAGAATCAAGTATACAGAATCGACTTGACTCATCCTCATCTCGCTAGCCAAAGGTTTTTCGTCTGTTCTGTTCCCCATTAACGTTTATGGTGAGAAGAGCGGGCCGAAAGTGTTGGCCAGCTAAGACGATCATCCTCAAAGAAAATAGCAAGAAAATAATTAGCTCCCTTATAGATAAGCAAAACGCTCATTTAACTCAATGCAGTTTCAGGGCACTTTTTCTGAAAGTGTTTTAATACATGTATTTAATAAGCATACAAAATGTCAATGAAGGACTGTCCTCTTGTTTAAAAATTTTTTTGGAAAAGATTTTTTTTTTCAAGAATTACGGTATTTCCTTCTCAGTTTTCCTGAGACCATGTTGACCACATAAGCTTCTCAGTTAACCCTTTTTATGCGCCCAGATCGATAGATCCAGGGCATATATTGTTTTTGTCCTGTCTGTCTGTCTGTCTGTTTGTTTGTTTGTCTCGAACTTTAACCTTCACCATAACTTTTGAACCATGAAAGATAGAGACTTCATATTTGATATGCATATTCCACTAATCAACCTCTTTCAAATGACACCAAGGTCAATGACCGTGTGACCTTGACTGTGACCTTAATGCTAAAAATAGCCTTTTCCAAACTTTGTTGCCGCCGGGCGCATAGTGTTTCACAAACACATCTTGTTCTCAGATGAATTTGTCTGATTGTATAAAGCATACAATATGATCAATCCTTTATGAATAAATGCATGATTCTTGAAAAATCTAACTTTTCAGCTTATATTGAAAAGTTCTTTTTAATTCCTCAACCAGATGAAATATTGATAATAAAGCAATTAATAACCCTACAATGAGATTTTAAGAAAAAGTCTTCGAAAATATTCAAGCAACTTTTGAAAGAACATAAAAGCATATAAGGAAATTTTAAGAATGGTTAATATTCAAGAATTGTTCAGTTACTATCATACTCACAATTGTCATAATGAAAAGTTAAATAAAATTAACTGTTTTATATACTAATATAATATACTATAAATATTGAATACATTTATTTTGTGTTTAGATCATGACCTCTTTTAACTGCATTTTAACTTGTACCCATATTCAATATACAATAAACATTTATTTGCACTTGGTGTAACATCTGCAGTGTTGTTTATATTCTATAAATCACATGTGCATCTTCCTATTGTCTTCAAAACACATTCATTCTATTATTTTGTCATCAATCTTTACAGAATTTCAATACTTTATTATGATTATGGAATTAAGTCAAAATTATTTATGGTAAATGTATCATAAAAATACTTAAAAGAAATTTAATAATCTAGTACTTAGTAACAAGCAATAGATTTATTTTGATATTCTCTTTATAATATTTAATATCATATTTTAACTTTAAAAATCTGTTGAAAAAAAATAAATTGAAAGAACCACTAAAATAATGTTCAACTTTACTTTAAGTGATGATAATCCACCAAAATTATGCTAAATGATTCATTTTCCACCAAGAAATTGGATAACAGACAAGTTTCATTTTCAGTTTCTTCAAATTTTGGCAGACTTTTGATACAATTCTAGATGATTTTAATCACAGATGACTGTAGAGGGGGCCCTTAATTATTACCTGACAATTGAAAAAGACCTAGAGGGGCGCTGATAGGGGCAGGGGTGGTTAATAGGGATTATAGGGTAGTGACAAAATGGTTTCATTCTTGATAACATATAGTGCACTTCGGAAAAAGGTGTTTTGATCCCAACGTAAAAAAAAAATGAAAATGGGGAAGGTGTCTATTCCCCAAGTGCCGGTGTAGTAAAAGAGCAGTGGTAAATTAAATAACTGAGAGGTACTCGCGATATCACATGTTCCAACTTTTTTCTTGAAGTACATTTGAATTTTCTTTTTAGACAAACATGCATATATGGTACATTGGTTTGTTAAATGCCACTGTGGTTGAAAATGCACTTTTCATATTTAAAACAAGCACATAGAAAAGTTCTTGGTTTCAGGCTAACTTTTTGCCAAAATGTATTCTAATGCACAACACTTGAATGGGTCAGAGAGACAGTATGTCTTGATTTTAGATGACAAAGACTTTTGGAGGGGTGTACTTGTCAAATTCCCAAGTGAGAATAAAATTTGGGTCATGTTTTACAAAAGAACTTATACTTAAAACCAAATTCTACTTTTGAAAATTGATTGTCATTTTAATAACTGCTATATTATTTTATAAAAGTAATAAATCATAAAGTTGTTATGTTGGAGAATTGAAAACTAAGTAAAATTATAACGAATGATAATCATAAATTTGTAAAAGCACCTGTATCTATCAGAGTATGTATCCCCTATATTAATTATCAAAAAATGGGGACTTCTACAGAAACATTAGAGCAGACTTAAAGCACACTTAATAATTATCAAAATATGTTCATATAATGTATAAAAAATAATTTGTTGGATATTCGTTATAAAGAGGACAACACTGTTTTGAGATTTTCAGCTAGCATGAAGAATGAGTCGTGGTAAGTTCAAAGGCAGATGCTGGTCTCTCAGTGAAGCTTCCTCTCCATAATTCACTTAGTGTCTTTACTTGTTGTCCATATTCCTCATGCAACTGTAAAAACTTTTTAGGTGGTCCCTTCACAACTTGGCCATGTTCTTCATCAATCGAGTCATATAAATGTTTACTTTCACTTTTTCTTTGAGCAGTTGGATCATTAAAAGGATTAAATCTGACACGTCTTTGACTCGTGCTTAATGAAAGAGATTCATCCTTGTCTTCCACGGGTGAATAACTAGATGAGACTAAGTGACTGTCTCTCATAGCATTCTCCAATAGTTGCTGTTGACTGTTCTCCTTGAGTTCCTCTAGCTGCTGCTTCAGTTCTGATACCATCAGCTTCATGTAGTCATAACTAGCACATGACAACACTTTCATCCAGGCCTCCATTTCTTCCTGAGAATCAGCTGCCATGTGATAGGTCCTACAACCTGTCTTTGGAAAAACAATCTGAAATGCAAATCCATCAATATTTTCAGACAGTTCAATTGTGCAACCCTCCAAAATGATGACACCCACGGGTTCTTTTTCATATCGCTTCTCATAGTAGAAAAGTAGATTTCCCTTCAGAACGAAGTATCTTTTTTGGTAGCCCTTGTTGAGCTCACCCTTCTTGAGCAGGTACCCCTCCTTGTCAGCAGGTGCCCCGCTGCTGGCGAATTTAGACAAACTTTTCTCATTAATCCTCATACTGTAAACATTTGGAGCAGACTTCAAAGGAAGTAGGTGGCCGTAAGTCCAGTCATGTTTACTATAGGAAGTCACAGCTCTTTGTCATGATCTCATTCTTAGTAGCTTGCGTGTAATCGACCTGTAATACCAGGATAGTATTACAAACATGTTTCTCAAGTTGTAACAATACCGTAGATCATCGGTGATTCTATGCCTGCTAGGACAGAAATGTTATTTAAATGTTCTGGCTAGCTGTTCTGACTTAAAAGTTATTTTACCACGCACAGACTTACTGAAATTCTATAATTTGTCTCACCAATACAAAGTGACAAGTGCTAGTCTGAGGACAATCGACCCTACACTTTTCGTTGTTTTCAAAATTGAAGAGTTAACTACTATATTGTGGTGGATCCAACTCCAAGGCTCAATATTGATAAACGAGTGTCTCAGCCCTGGGTCTACATTTCGGGACTTTAGAAATAAAACCATCCAGAAAGAGTGATAACACGATTAGGGACTGGCAGAAACGTAAGATGCGGGGGAGAAGGACAAGGGGCATCAAACTCGTATAAAGAGCGAGGGGCGTACATGTGTCCAACATCTCTTGGACAACTCCCCTTTTTTCATTTATTTATTTATTTATTTATTTTAGTATTTTTTCATTTAGATGCCGGTTGGCCTCACCACATTTTGGTATTGAAAATTCGAACAATAGCATATTCTAGATCATTTTGAAAAAAAGTAAGCGTAAGAGAAAAATTCAAAGGTTTTATAAATGCATATATACTGATTGCACAGAACGACCATAGGCACTCCCCATCATAATTGTTAAAAATATATTATAAACATGTTATGTTTATAGTATAGTAGAGGTACATATTTCAACAATTAAGATGGGGAGTGCCTATTATGATATAAGAAGGCATAAGATCTCTTCACATACTCAGCCCGTCACAATTTCTAGAACAGAGAGTCCACGTCAGTAAGAAATCAGTGATTTCCATGTCAAATGACTTCAATTTCCTTCAATACTTGTGACACGATAGCGGTGTTTTTCTTTGAAGTTTACTGTTCTAGCTGTATTAGCAATACAGAACGGGACTGTGGTGGGCGGAGCTACTTTCCGTTCTGCATTAGCCTTGTATACAGTATTGTATTTGCCAACTATTCTGTATCTTAAATACAGCACGGTCTAAAAATAAATCTGATTCAATTTAGCAAAGCTAGCGCGTACACATAATAAATACTGATGTTTTCCTATTATTAATTTTTAAGAAATACCCGGTATTTTTCATGTAGAATGTCAAAATTTCTCAATCACTTTCTAAAAACTTATTCCACACAGAATCTACACGTAATTTCGATCGAAAGTAAAAAAAAAATCGCAATAACGGAAAACATCCTCTGTATAATTTTGAACAATCCACACGAAACAGAAAATTCGCTATCACGGAAAAAATCCTTCTCGCTGACGACAGCCACACGGCTCTTTCACTTCGTTTTTAATGTCGCAATTCAATTTGAAAATAAAAATCCCTGACATCAAAGTCCATCGAAGAATTTTCTGTAAATCCTGTTTTTGGAAATCTAGTTAAACCGGGATTTTAAGACCCCTGAAATAAATTATGATAAATCTCCATCTACAATTATAACAATAGATCATAACAATTACGGTTAAATCCTCTAATTTATCCATTAAGACTGACTATCACTCCATTACGTCTACCCCGTTAAATTATCAAAACAAATCTGACCGAATTTTACGTTTTCCGTGGAAATATATATACTGCGGATGCGTACTCCCCGTCGGGGCCTCATCTACAGAACTCTGGCGGAAGTTTGGATGCTGCAAAGTTATAAAGTGGGCGGAGCTGTTTTTGATTGATCGTGTCACAAATCATTTAGAGAACGAGACAGGTTCTGTATCGTAGATACAAATTTGGGGGCGGAGACTCGTGCTTTCGCACTCGTCTGCCCCCAAATTTGTATCTACGATACAGAACCTGTCTCGTTCTCTAAATAATACTTGTAAAAGCAAGATCTGTTTATGAAACACCGAAGCCCGGCCTCTGAAGTCTCTCAGATGGAAGTTAAAAATCAAAGGTCAAAGCCGAAAGGTAAAACTTTTGGTATATATATCCAAAGAAAAGTCTATAGTCACAGTGAATACACGTGTGAAATATGAAAGCCCTATTGCTAATTAACTGTTTAAAAATTATGACTACTGTTAAAGTTTATTACAATTTTAAGTGGCTAAAACTCTTATAGGTCTTATCTCTTAGGCCAAGTTACCCATTGAAGATATCTTGTTACAATGAATATATACACGTGTGAAGTATATATGAAAGCCCTATTGCTTATTTTTCAGAAGTCGTGACCAAAATTAAAGTTTTATTTAAAATTGGGCCAAACTATAAGTCAAGGCCAAAGATTAAAAATATCTATACCTATTGAAAGGTCTTGTCACAATGAATGAATAGACCTAGGAAGTATGAAATCCCTAGAATAGTTCAAAAGTTATGGCCAAAGTTAAAGTGTGTTAAAGTTTTGTAAAAGTTGTCAAACTCAAAAGTCAATGTCAAGAGGTCAAATTTTGTGATATCTGACTATAGAAAGTTCTTGTCAAAAGGAATACACATGTAAACAAGCTAATTCAGAGAATTCGTGTCCCCCGCTTAGGGAAAAAGTCGGATCCCCCTCACTGAATTTGTAGAATTATTAAATGTATACATGTATATTGAAGCAAATAAAATACATGTATGTATACATGTATATGCATATAAAGATATAAAGATTTGATTGCTCATTCTTTATTATGTGTATAGAAGATTTTTTTATATGGAATATTTATCACACTGTAATGATGATTTTATAACCTCATAAATTTTTCATTTCACATGCTGAATACTATCATTTAGTAAAAAAAAAAGTATTTAAAAAAAAAAAAAGAAAAACAAGAACGGTCCGACCGAGATTCGATCCCGAGACCTCTCACATTAGAAGCGAGCGACATAACCACTAGACCACGAAGTCGCTTTCCCCGGAAAGAAGTATATGCAGAGAAGACATACATATATATTCCATGTTCTAGGTGTTTGACCTTTATTAAACAGTTTTAATAGATGTAATAAGAACATAAAGTTGTTTTATACGCAATAACTCTCCTCAAGTCCTTGTGCTAAAAAGAACGACATGTAATACTATATATACTAATAAAACAAACGGGGCGGGGCACTTTGAGAGGGGTGAGAGAGGTCCTAGGGAGTTTTGGTATAAAATTACATTGCATCAGCTCAAAATCTTCTTGAAATATCGCCCGGAAATGATAGTGTTACACACAGACAGAATGTATAAATTTACGACCTTGAACTTTGACCTTTTGACCTCAAAATCAATAGGGGTCTTCTTTAGGCCACAGGGAGTTGTTATGTAAAATTTCATTGCAATAGCTCAAATGGTTCTAGAGATATCGTGTGGAAACGAAAGTGTTATAACAGACAGAATTTGCTTATTTATGACCTTGACCTTTGACCTTTTGACCTCAAAATCAATAGGGGTCTTCTTTAGTCCATAGGGAGTTGCTATGCTAAATTTCATTGCAAAAGCTCAAAGGGTTCTCGAGATATCGTGTGGAAACGAAAGCGTTACAGACAGACAGAAAGACGGACGGACGGACGGACAGACGACGGACAAACCCAAATTAATATCCCCCACTTTTCAAGCGGGGGACAATAAAATACATGTATGTCAATATGCATATAAAGATTTGATTGCTTATTCCTTATTATGTGTATAGAAGATTCTTTTTATATGGAATATTTATCACACTGTAATGATGATTTTATAACCTCATAAATTTTTCATTTCACATGCTGAATACTATCTTTTAGTAAAAAAAAAAGTATTTTAAAAAAAAAGGATCGATCGAGATTCGATCCCGGGATCTCTCACATGTGAAGCGAGAGACATATACCACTAGACCTGCTTTATACGCAATAACTCTCCACATGCCCCTGTGCTAAAAATAGCGACATGCAATACTATAAAGTTATATGAGAGAGGTCCTAGGGAGTTTTGGTATAAAATTACATTGCATAAGCTCAAAATCTTCTTGAAATATCCCCGTGATAGTGTACACAGACAGAATGTATAAATTTACGCAACTTTTATTTTGAAAATTCAATAGGGGTCTTCATTAGGCCACAAGGAGTTATTATGTAAAATTTCAAATAGCTCAAATGGTTCTAGAGATATCGTGTGAGCAATGTTATAACAGACAGAATTTGCTTATTTATGACCTTGACCTTTGACCTTTTGACCTCAAAATCAATAGTCGATGTGTTGCTATTAAATTTCATTTTAAAGGATTCTCGAATGTGTGGAAAGAGCGTTATAACTCGAGAGACCTATGAAATTAATATCCACCACTTTTCAAGCGGGGGGGGGGGGGGGGGACTATTATGTTGCAAAGCAACGAATAGGTCTTCCCTTGGAGCTACGGACAAAAAATGACATATGTCTATTATGGGACATGAATGCCCCGTCTAGTGTATATTAGTAATGCAACATTAAAATCTGTATTTCAACGTTCTTTGAAATAAAAAAAACGATGCATCATATTATGTATCTTTGTGTAGTGTACCTATGTGCCAAATTACTAGTATATTGAAATCAAAAAATTAAAATAGGAGGTAGCATTTTAAAGGATTTTCAAAACTATGTAACCATGAAAGATTCATTGAAATAAAAGTTTCATTTAATTTCAAGTTATATTGAAATCAGTAAAATTGTAGGAGTTGCGGATAACATTTAAAATTTCACAGAAATTTCAGACGGAACGGACGGATGTACAGACGGACGGACAGACAAATTTGGGGGCAGGACGGAAATCCCGATCACTATATACCCTCCCGCTTTTCAAGCGGGGGGTATAAAAAACGATGCATCATATTATGTATCTTTGTGTAGTGTACCTATGTGCCAAATTACTAGTATATTGAAATCAGACTAAAATTATGGGAGGAGTAGCATTTTAAAGGATTTTCCCAAAACTTTCTACTTTTAGTAACCATGACAACACCGTTCATTGAAATAAAAAAAAACGATGCATTATATTATGTATCTTAGTGTAGTCTACTTATGATCCAAGTTATATTGAAATCAGCCTAAAATTGTAGGAGGAATAACATTTACAGGAATTTCACAGAAATTTCTGTTTTAGTAACCATGGCAACAACGTTCATTGAAATCAAAAACCGATGCACCTTACTATCACATAAGCTCTTCCGGTCTCTGACCAGTAGAGCTAAAAGCCTAAAAATGAGCTAAAACTGATTTAAAAAGAGTGAGGTCAAGGACGAAAGTAAGTTCAATG